GTTCTTGCATTTGACTTGGCGGATTTGCGTCTTAGGACGAAAACTGCACGAGCCCTGTTTTTCCCGACTACCCTTCATTTCTGCGCAAATATAAGCTATTCTTGAAACTTGCGCCATGTTTGCATGAGATTTTTTTATAGAACTCGAGAAGAGAGCGCTCCTCCAGAGAACGAGTTGCAGAAGACCATAGGCGACTTATCCTCCAGAACATCACATATCGGCGATCACGGCATGCGCTTCCGGAAATCCACAGAGAAGTTGACTGTGCCCACGTGGTACCTAGAAAACACTGTAAGTCTTTTTGTTGAGTGCTGTTCGCATGACGAGTCCAAAGTTTTAGCGCGGCTTTACCAAATCGGGCGATATGTCGCAAGGAATGGCGACGGGTAACTTGAGCAATAATCAAAACACAACTGGTGCATCGACAGGAATCGATCTCCCGAAGGGATTGTTTAGTCGTTACAAGGACGAAATTGAGGATTTAAGGCGATCAAGATCATCCCTGCATCAACTAAAGGAGCAACGTCAGGTAGTAGCGCTGTAATTTTTTCTGTTCGAATGCCCATATGTGGCTCATCCAGCTGTTTACTAATAATTCGTTCTTTAAAACTTGCATGTTTCCGAAAGACCATATGTGATGGGAGCCGATTACATGGGTAACTCTATGAACTGAGATATGTTCTGTTGTTTCTATTTTATCTATCTATTTTTTCTCATTTCGTCGGCCACCATTGTCTGCTATGAGCCCCTCTGTGTTGTCCTTCGTGCGCAACTGCCAAGATTAGCTTATCTCAAATGCTCCTTGCATGAAATCCTTGCGTTTGATTGTCAAAGCAAGAACCACTCCTATTGACAGTGCATTTACGTATGATGTCACTTCCGACCACTTTGTTGTGATGTAGCTCGCGTGTGACGTGCTTACCTTATCATTTTATATGTGTGCTTTCCATTTCATTTCCGCCCATCAAATGCATTTTCACTATCCCTTTACACATTGAAAGATTTCTACATTATCTGACTTCTTGGTATCGTCTACGATCTGAGAATAAATTTTTTCCCATTGTGTTGCTACTGCTATTTTTGCTTTGCATGAGCATTTTCCGGACACGGTGTCCCAAAAATGTGTACACACTTTTGTCCACTATTTACTCTGTATCAATATGAATTCTGGGTAACTTTCGAGTAATCCATCACGTATGAGTCGGTGCATCTGAACATGACTGTGGGCTACATAAGTCCCTTGCCGGATGAGGGAGGTTGTGGTAAGCAAAGGGATGCGAGTGCAGTCTCTTGGCGGAGCGCGTAACGGGCAGAGTAAGATGATAGACGCTTGTGCGTTACGTTCGCTCTCGTTCAGCTTATAACCGCCCTGATCTGGCAATAGACTTGAAAT